AGACCACAGGACCTGGCCTCAAGACGGTCCAGGGTACAGGACCCGGCCTCAAGAGGGTCCAGACCACAGGACCCGGCCTCAAGACGGTCCAGGGTACAGGACCCGACCTCAAGACGGTCCAGGACCCAGCCTCAAGACGGTCCAGGGTACAGGACCCAGCCTCAAGACGGTCCAGACCACAAGACCCAGCCTCAAGACGGTCCAGGGTACAGGACCCAGCCTCAAGACGGTCAAGGGTACAGGACCCGGCCTCAAGACGGTCCAGACTACAGGACCCAGCCTCAAGACGGTCCAGACTACAGGACCCAGCCTCAAGACGGTCCAGACTACAGGACCCAGCCTCAAGACGGTCCAGGCTACAGGACCCAGCCTCAAGACGGTCCAAGATACAGGACCCGGCCCCAAGACGGTCCAGACTACAGGACCCAGCCTCAAGACGGTCCAGACTACAGGACCCAGCCTCAAGACGGTCCAGGCTACAGGACCCGGCCTCAGGACCGTCCAGACCACAGTACCCGGCCTCAAGACGGTCTAGGCTACAGGACCTGGTCTCAAGACGGTCCAGGGTACAGGACCGGGCCTCAAGACGGTCCAGACCACAGTACCCGGCCTCAAGACGGTCTAGGCTACAGGACCCGGCCTCAAGACGGTCACCAAGGACACTATAATCCCGGCCCAGGATGGCCAAGAAACTTTACATTCTTATAGACGAATTCTTATACGTGATCTGTGGAACTTATCTCGACCTCACATTGTCGTCTTAATTGAGTTTTAATTTTTGTAATCTAGTCTCGAGGTTAAATGTGTAGGCGTTGAATGTTTACATGTTAATGATACTTATAACACGAAGATCAATTCACAGTCATATAAGTAGTATGATGTAATGAGGTGCTACAGACATGAGGTGCTACAGACATGAGGTGCTACAGACATGAGGTGCTACAGGCATGAGGTGCTACAGACATGAGGTGCTACAGACATGAGGTGCTACAGACATGAGGTGCTACAGGCATGAGGTGCTACAGACACGAGGTGCTACAAACATGAGGTAAAACACCGGCCGAGAGCCGGTGGCCGAGCGGACAGCACGCTGGACACTTGATTCTGTGGTCCCGGGTTCGATCCCGGGCGCCGGTGAGAAACGATGGGCAGAGTTTCTTTCACCCCTATTACCTAGCTGTAAATAGGTACCTGGGAGTTAGCCAGCTGTCACAGGCTGCTTCTTGGGTGTGTATGTGGTGTGGAAAAAAAAAGTAGTAGTAGAAACAGTTGATTGACAGTTGAGAGGCGGGCCGAAAGAGCCAGAGCTCAACCCCCGCAAGCACAATTAGGCGAGTATACACACACAAAATAAAAAGGTTCAGTTCTGTTTCACAAGAAATAAATTAACTAACAAATGATCCGAATAAAAATAATAGAATAAGAATAATTATAATAACAGCAATAATAATAATAATAATAATAATAATAATAATAATAATAAAAATAATTAGTAATATCAGTACCATTCATACTCACCCACTCTCAATAACATTAATCATATTAAGCCCTAAAATTACATTAATTTTCTTCTGCAAGAACTCTCTCTCTATTGTTTAAATTCCAACTTTAATAACCAAACCGTTAGCATAACAGGGCTACTAATAGCAATGATAACGAGGCTATTTACTGTGCCTCATATGGGTTTCGTTACTGTTTGTTGTTTAAGATTCAATACCTGGAACAAACAGTTCCAAGTAGCACGGGCTATGGTGAGCCCGTAGTGGACTTTGAGAGCTAATCACAGGTTATTATCTCCCCCAGATGGATATATATATATATATATATATATATATATATATATATATATATATATATATATATATATATATATATATATATAATTTGTAATTATATACAAAAAGTATACAAGGTTTCACTTTATAATCAGACAATATTGGCCTTAATAAAGTTTCATTTTGAGCTATTTCGTTTGTGTCATTTAGCGAAGGTTTTTAATATTTAATATAAATATTTAATTTTTAATATTTTTTAATATTGAATATGCTTACGGTAATATTTAATATTTTGCTTCGTATTTTGATATAATTTTATACGAGTAGAGTTGTTAGTACTGTAAGCGCTGGTTAAAGCGTTAGCTCATCACACTGTTCTAGTCACCTTGTTGTGCTTGAGGGGGGTTGAGCTCTGGCTCTTGGGTCCCGCCTCTCAACTGTCAATCAACTGGTGTACAGATTCCTGAGCTTATTGGGTTTTATCATATGTACATCTGAAACTGTGTATGGAGTCAGCCTCCACCACATCACTGCCTAATGCATTCCATCTGTTAACTAGTTGTGTGTGTGTGTGTGTGTGTGTACTCACCTACCTATTTGTGCTTGCGGGGGTTGAACTTCGGCTCTTTGGTCCCGTACCAAACATGAGGTGTGTGTGTGTGTGTGTGTGTGTGTGTGTGTGTGGTGTGTGTGTGTGTGTGTGTGTGTGTGTGTGTGTGTACTCACCTAGTTGTACTCACCTAGTTGTGTTTGCGGGGGTTGAGCTCTGGCTCTTTGGTCCCGCCTCTCAACCGTCAATCAACAGGTGTACAGATTCCTGAGCCTATCGGGCTCTGTCATATCTACACTTGAAACTGTGTATGGAGTCAGCCTCCACCACATCACTTCCTAATGCATTCCATTTGTCAACCACTCTGACACTAAAAAAGTTCTTTCTAATATCTCTGTGGCTCATTTGGGCACTCAGTTTCCACCTGTGTCCCCTAGTACGTGTGCCCCTTGTGTTAAATAGACTGTCTTTATCTACCCTATCAATCCCCTTCAGAATCTTGAATGTGGTGATCATGTCCCCCCTAACTCTTCTGTCTTCCAGCGAAGTGAGGTTTAATTCCCGTAGTCTCTCCTCGTAGCTCATACCTCTCAGCTCGGGTACTAGTCTGGTGGCAAACCTTTGAACCTTTTCCAGTTTAGTCTTATCCTTGACTAGATATGGACTCCATGCTGGGGCTGCATACTCCAGGATTGGCCTGACATATGTGGTATACAAAGTTCTGAATGATTCTTTACACAAGTTTCTGAATGCCGTTCGTATGTTGGCCAGCCTGGCATATGCCGCTGATGTTATCCGCTTGATATGTGCTGCAGGAGACAGGTCTGGCGTGATATCAACCCCCAAGTCTTTTTCCTTCTCTGACTCCTGAAGAATTTCCTCTCCCAGATGATACCTTGTATCTGGCCTCCTGCTCCCTACACCTATCTTCATTACATTACATTTGGTTGGGTTAAACTCTAACAACCATTTGTTCGACCATTCCTTCAGCTTGTCTAGGTCTTCTTGAAGCCTCAAACAGTCCTCTTCTGTTTTAATCCTTCTCATAATTTTAGCATCGTCCGCAAACATTGAGAGAAATGAATCGATACCCTCCGGGAGATCATTTACATATATCAGAAACAAGATAGGACCGAGTACAGAGCCCTGTGGGACTCCACTGGTGACTTCACGCCAATCGGAGGTCTCACCCCTCACCGTAACTCTCTGCTTCCTATTGCTTAGATACTCCCTTATCCACTGGAGCACCTTACCAGCTACACCTGCCTGTCTCTCCAGCTTATGTACCAGCCTCTTATGCGGTACTGTGTCAAAGGCTTTCCGACAATCCAAGAAAATGCAGTCCGCCCAGCCCTCTCTTTCTTGCTTAATCTGTGTCACCTGATCGTAGAATTCTATCAAGCCTGTAAGGCAAGATTTACCCTCCCTGAATCCATGTTGGCGATTTGTCACGAAGTCCTTCTCTCCAGATGTGTTACCAGGTTTTTTCTCACGATCTTCTCCATCACCTTGCATGGTATACAAGTCAAGGACACTGGCCTGTAGTTCAGTGCCTCTTGTCTGTCGCCCTTTTTGTATATTGGGACCACATTCGCCGTCTTCCATATTTCTGGTAGGTCTCCCGTCTCTAGTGACTTACTATACACTATGGAGAGTGGCAGGCATCTGCCACTCTCTGCACACTCTTTCAGTACCCATGGTGAGATCCCATCTGGACCAACAGCCTTTCTAACATCCAGATCCAGCAGGTGTCTCTTGACCTCCTCTCTCGTAATTTCGAACTCCTCCAAGGCCGCCTGGTTTACCTCCCTTTCTCCTAGCACAGTGACCTCACCCTGTTCTATTGTGAAGACCTCCTGGAACCTCTTGTTGAGTTCCTCACACACCTCTCTGTCATTCTCTGTATACCTGTCCTCGCCTGTTCTAAGTTTCAATACCTGTTCTTTCACTGTTGTTTTCCTTCTGATGTGACTGTGGAGTAGCTTTGGTTCGGTCTTGGCTTTGTTTGCTATATCATTTTCAAAATTTTTCTCTTGTGTGTGTGTGTGTGTGTGTGTGTGTGTGTGTGTGTGTGTGTGTGTGGTTGTGTGTGTGTGTACGCACTACATCAATGTGAGTGTATGATCTTGTCAGTGAGTGTATAATTACATATCAATATGATGAATGTGTTTTATTCTCCGGGAGTTTTAAGTGTTTTATTTACTTAAGTGTCAAAGACTGTTAATGTGAGACAAGAAGCCACGTGGGAGGGTAGTGCTCTTTGCCAATAGTCTGCACTGTAACTCAGGGTTCAGATATTGTCGATACAGTCACATGCTGTATTCAACCCACCTTAACAGTCCATACTGTATTCATCTCACCTTCCAGTATATGACAGGTTTTTCTCCTCGTGTTATGAACGAGTGATAGTTACTGATTGATCAAGATTCCTTCCCTAATTTCAAGTAATACTAAGCAGTGAATTATGCAAGAATTTGTGTAAGTGAAGAAAGTGGATTTTTAAGATTGTGTATTAAAGACATAGTTTATAACTAATCAATGAAACAACATCTTTTGACATGTATTAGTCAGCCAGCAGAGGATAGTCAACAGGATTAATAATATAGAATACTTTTAATACAACATTTTTATACAGGAAGATATGATACAGAATATACACAGGGTATGACTAGAAACTGGAAGCCTCACGACACTAGATCGTCTCTGTATGGCTGGAACAAAGAATGGGGCGCCTTCTGCTGCTGGGGGGCGACGCCCCTGGGCCCCTCGCTAGGAGTAGGGCTGCTGCTGCTGCTGCGGGCCCCTGCAGGAGTCAGGGCCCCGGCACACGCTGGTCTGAGCAGGCTCGGTCTGGGCCCCGGGTGGGTCAGGGCGGGGCACATCACACGACACATACACCCGTCGCCGCCCACTTTCGGGGCGTCCCTAGCGGGACAGGTGGACAGATGAGTGCCCGGGCGGTGGATGACGGGCGTGGGCGCCCTGATCGGAACGACGGAAGGATGTGGGCGTGGATACGGCGCGTACCGTGACAACGATTGGGCGTGTGTCGGGCTGCCGCCGCTGCTGTAAGGTAGCGGCTGCGGCTGCGGGAGTCTAGCGGCGGCGGCCCAAGGTGAGGCGCTGGAGAGGACGGGTGGTAGGTAGGGCGGGTAGGCTGCGGCGGCTGCGGCTGCGGCGGCCGCATGCAGCAGGTAGGCCGTGAGGGCCGGGTCGGCGTAGGGCCACACCAGAGACAACCGCTGGCGCTTATCCTTCATGCGGCGGTTCTGGAACCACACCTGTCAACACAGAACACACAAGGTCAACACAGAACACACAAGGTCAACACAGAACACACAAGGTCAACACAGAACACACAAGGTCAACACAGAACACACAAGGTCAACACAGAACACACACAAGGTCAACACAGAACACACAAGGTCAACACAGAACACACAAGGTCAACACAGAACACACAAGGTCAACACAGAACACACAAGGTCAACACAGAACACACACAAGGTCAACACAGAACACACAAGGTCAACACAGAACACACAAGGTCAACACAGAACACACAAGGTCAACACAGAACACACAAGGTCAACACAGAACACACACAAGGTCAACACAGAACACACACAAGGTCAACACAGAACACACAAGGTCAACACAGAACACACACAAGGTCAACACAGAACACACAAGGTCAACACAGAACACACAAGGTCAACACAGAACACACACAAGGTCAACACAGAACACACAAGGTCAACACAGAACACACAAGGTCAACACAGAACACACAAGGTCAACACAGAACACACAAGGTCAACACAGAACACACAAGGTCAACACAGAACACACAAGGTCAACACAGAACACACAAGGTCAACACAGAACACACAAGGTCAACACAGAACACACACAAGGTCAACACAGAACACACACAAGGTCAACACAGAACACACACAAGGTCAACACAGAACACACACAAGGTCAACACAGAACACACAAGGTCAACACAGAACACACAAGGTCAACACAGAACACACACAAGGTCAACACAGAACACACACAAGGTCAACACAGAACACACACAAGGTCAACACAGAACACACACAAGGTCAACACAGAACACACACAAGGTCAACACAGAACACACAAGGTCAACACAGAACACACAAGGTCAACACAGAACACACAAGGTCAACACAGAACACACAAGGTCAACACAGAACACACACAAGGTCAACACAGAACACACAAGGTCAACACAGAACACACACAAGGTCAACACAGAACACACACAAGGTCAACACAGAACACACAAGGTCAACACAGAACACACAAGGTCAACACAGAAACACACAAGGTCAACACAGAACACACAAGGTCAACACAGAACACACACAAGGTCAACACAGAAACACACAAGGTCAACACAGAACACACACAAGGTCAACACAGAACACACAAGGTCAACACAGAACACACAAGGTCAACACAGAACACACACAAGGTCAACACAGAACACACACAAGGTCAACACAGAACACACACAAGGTCAACACAAGGTCAACACACACACAAGGTCAACACAGAACACACACAAGGTCAACACAGAACACACAAGGTCAACACAGAACACACACAAGGTCAACACAGAACACACACAAGGTCAACACAGAACACACACAAGGTCAACACAGAACACACAAGGTCAACACAGAACACACACAAGGTCAACACAGAACACACAAGGTCAACACAGAACACACACAAGGTCAACACAGAACACACAAGGTCAACACAGAACACACACAAGGTCAACACAGAACACACACAAGGTCAACACAGAACACACAAGGTCAACACAGAACACACACAAGGTCAACACAGAACACACACAAGGTCAACACATCATGTCCGTCAAAACTCGTAAATAAAAATAATCTTACTTCTGTACATAATTACCGCCAAGGCACTTATAAAAATAATAATTATTATTATAATTATAATAATTCAGGTGAGCACCAATTATTTACATAATAAGAATTTATATTTAGTTGTAATAAAGCCACAAATCACTCGCTATCTTTCGACAGAATGACTAAAATTCCCATATATATATATTGACATTTATTAAGATGTATATATATACACTTTAGAGCAAATGTAATGAGTCAATAGAGCGTAGACAATACTAGGAAAGAATGTTACCTTGATGGTTGCCTCCGGCAGGTCTAGCTCCTGGGCCAGCTCGCAGCGTCGCGGCCGGCTGATGTAGTTCTCTCTTAAGAATTCTTTCTCGAGGCGCGCGATCTGCTCCCTGGTGAAGGCCGTCCTGTACCGTCGGAGCTCCGCCGCTGACGGTACGGACGACGCTGTCTCCGTCAGCGTCGTCTTCACGGGCGACGCTGAGACCGAAGAGTCTGTGGTTGCGGGCGCTGAATGCCGGGTTCTCAACTCTGAAAGAAATAATATCAAATAAATACCTGAAAGATTGTCTCTATATAGGACTTTTCGCTGTAAGAAGCGAAGATGGCTACGAAAGTGTCAAGAAACTCGTATATTGATTATTTATCACACAGATAGATAGCTGGGGTAAGTCTCCCTTACCTATGTGACTGTCCCTGGCGCTGGTGTGGTCGTCTGGTGACACTGGGGGCTGTGGTGGCGAGGGGGGCGTGGTGCTGGGGGCTGGAGGGCTGCACGGGGGGCTCACGGGGACGTGATGACCTCCTAACACCTGCAGTCCGTCCAACATCTCCGGCGACACGCGGAATGGTTGCATCCAGAGTGCGATATGTCTCCGCCAGACGCCTTGCAACGCGGGGGGTTCACAGGAGACACCAACGCGTACCGTTAGAAAGGTTTCCAGCGATGATAGAAGCTGTTCACGGCGTTGATAGAAGCTGTTCACGGGTTCACGGCGCTATTGTTCACGCTTCAGCGATATCATGAAGAATAAAGATGCTTGAGCGGTCTGATGCTCCCAAATGGCAGTCGCCGAGCATCCACAAGCTGATTGGCCGAAGGTGACTGGGCGGAGCCTAGTCCATCCACTGAGCCACACGTAACCAATCAGAGCCTCGCTGCCGTATAGGCTCCACCCCCCACCGATTTAGCCTTGCTATTGGTGAATACAGTTAATGGCTCTGTTGAATTGCTTTGATCAGAATTGATTGTGATATAATGAGATATTTTTCCTACCCCCCTTTAAAGTCTCTCGCACTCAGTATATCCCCATAAGCTCAGAGAATCGTCTACTGCCGCTTGCAATCACCGCTATCGCGCACGCCCGGACGCGCAGCTCCGTAACGAAACACATCATTGAAGAAAGTCGCTTGTCAACACCACCTAACAACTATTAATTACCCTCTGGCGCGAAGGGCAGCGAGCCAGGGGGGGGGGGCCCTCACAATCAGGGCTTCATTAACCTAAGATTTGATATCCAGGGGCGTTTGGATATTGGATATCCACCTGCTATCAGAGGCCTTCCACTGCCTGCAGCCGTTTTGATTCAATTACGCGACAATGGCCGCTAACTTCCTTCAACACATTTAGCCTAAATCGATCTTGATGGCAATCCCAGAGTGTAATTTCATCAAATAGTCTCTCCCCCTTAAGCGGGAGATTGTCTCGAGTTTTATATTGCTGGCGCTGGTAACTTGCTGGGCTTACGGCCCACAGTTCTTGCTCGGGAAAGGGTGAGATAAGAGAGGGGTGAGATGGGAGAGGAGTGAGATGAGAGAGGGGTGAGATGAGAGAGGGGTGAGATGGGAGAGGAGTGAGATGAGAGAGGGGTGAGATAAGAGAGGGGTGAGATGGGAGAGGAGTGAGATGAGAGAGGGGTGAGATGGGAGAGGGGTGAGATGAGAGAGGGGTGAGATGGGAGAGGGGTGAGATGGGAGAGGAGTGAGATGAGAGAGGGGTGAGATGGGAGAGGAGTGAGATGAGAGAAGGGTGAGATGAGAGAGGGGTGAGATGGCAGAGGGGTGAGATGAGAGAGGGGTGAGATGGCAGAGGGGTGAGATGAGAGAGGGGTGAGATGGGAGAGGAGTGAGATGATAGAGGGGTGAGATGGGAGAGGAGTGAGATGAGAGAGGGGTGAGATGAGAGAGGGGTGAGATGAGAGAGGGGTGAGATGGGAGAGGGAGAGAAAAGATAATGGAAGATGTATATGCGAACGGAGTGAGGAAAGATTTTAGGAGTTTCCATATGAATGAAGGAATAAACATGATGAGAGAGAAAGAGAGAGAGAGAGAGAGAGAGAGAGAGAGAGAGAGAGAGAGAGAGAGAGAGAGAGAGAGAGAGAGAGAGAGAGAGAGAGAGAGAGAGAGAGAGAGAGAGAGAGAGAGAGAGAGAGAGAGGACATAACTAGAGGGATACGATAAATGTATAAAGATACCTTGAGGTTACCTTGAGGTGCTTCCGGGGCTTAGCGTCCCCGCGGCCCGGTCGTCGACCAGGCCTCCTGGTTGCCGGACGGATCAACCAGGCTGTTGGATGCGGCTGCTCGCAGCCTGACGAATGAGTCACAGCCTGGTTGATCAGGTATCCTTTGGAGACTAAATAATCGCCCCCGGGTGGGCTCGAACCACCAACCTTTCGGTTTACAGCCGAACGCGCTAACCAATTGTGCCACGGAGACTCAAGATGGAGGACGTTGCAGATTGAAGGATGGAAACGCTTAGAAAAATAAGACACAAAATCTCTCATTAAGATTGTCACATCTTAAATACACGCTGAAGACACACTGAAGACATTACAAACGCACACTTATGACATGACAAACCCACGGTAAAGACATGACAAAAACACGCTGAAAACATGACAAAAACACGCTGAAGACATGATTATCTGCCCATGTATATGATAGATGGAATATCTATCCATGTGTAAGGTACAGGAAGTCTGTTCTTGAGTAAGTACAGGAACGTCGCAAGTTCTTCCTTAGACGTTAGACTTGGACCTTAGAGGTCCATCAACCGTGAAGTGCTCAGTCCCCCAGGGTACTGTGCTTACTCCAGTACTTTTTCTCATATTGGACATAGCCAAGGACACAATCTATCATCCTTAATCTGTGTCAATCTATCTAATACTGTTCCAGTTAATAACTGTATTGACAATCTATCAATACTGTATCATCCTTTGCAGATGACACTAGGATTTTCATGAGAGCAGGCAACATAGAGGACACGGCAAACCTCCAATCAGATATAAATCAGGTCTTTCTATGGGCTACAGAAAATAATATGGTGTTTAACGAAGATAAGTTCCAGCTCATGCGCTACGGAAAAAATGAAAATATAAAAACGGAAACCACGTACAAAACTCAGGCAAATCATAACATAGAACGAAAAGGCAATGTAAAGGATTTGGGTGTACTCATGTCGGAAGACCTTACCTTTAAAGAACACAATAAAGTAGCCGTCACAACTGCAAGAAAAATGACAGGTTGGATAACAAGAACTTTTCACACTAGAGATGCTATACCGATGACGATACTTTTCAAGACGCTAGTGCTCTCTAGAGTGGAGTACTGCTGCACAATAACAGCCCCTTTCAAAGCTGGAGAAATTGCTGACCTGGAGAGCGTGCAGAGATCCTTTACTGCTAGAATCCATTCAATAAAACATCTAAACTATTGGGACCGACTAAAGAGCCTAACTCTATATTCCCTTGAGCGCAGGCGGGAGAAATACATAATAATTTACATGTGGAAAATAGTAGAGGGGCTGGTCCCAAACCTGCACCCAGAAATACCACCACATGAGACCAGAAGGCATGGCAGGATGTGCAGAATACCCCCGTTGAAAAGCAGAGGTGCAACAGGTACTCTGAGAGAGAACTCTATCAACATCAGAGGCCCGAGACTGTTCAACACGCTTCCACTACACATAAGGGGCATAACTGGCTGACCCCTCACAGTGTTCAAGAGAGAACTATCAACATCAGAGGCCCGAGACTGTTCAACACGCTTCCACTACACATAAGGGGCATAACTGGCTGACCCCTCACAGTGTTCAAGAGAGAACTATCAACATCAGAGGCCCGAGACTGTTCAACACGCTTCCACTACACATAAGGGGTATAACTGGCCGACCCTTCATAGTGTTCAAGAGAGAAATGTATAAACACCTCCAAAGAATACCTGATCAACCAGGCTGTGACTCATACGTCAGGCTGCGAGCAGCCGCGTCCCACAGCCTGGTTGATCAGTCCAGCAACCAGGAGCCCTGGTCGACGACCGGGCCGCGGGGACGCTAAGGACCCCGGAAGCTCCTCAAGGTAACCTCAAGGTAGGGGGGGGGGATAAAAAAAGCCTAGCTACTCTATCCCTTTGAGATGTATAACTTTCTTGTCTCAAGAAACATACTTCAACTCTTGAACTTGAACCTCAAGGTAACCAGGTAATTTATTTAGGCCTGCAAAGGCTCTTGGAGAGTGAGGGGACGAGTTAATGGATTCTGACTGCTCTAACGGGCCGTTAACAGGATGCACTACATAACAGCTGTCTGACTCAGAGGTGCACGTTTGTACTGTTAGGTGAACAGAGGCATCAGGTTGAGAGCTCATGACTTTGTTGACAGCCAGTACATATGTGGTCACCATCTTCTGTGTGTGTGTGTGTGTGTGTGTGTGTGTGTGTGTGTGTGTGTGTGTGTGTGTGTGTGTGTGTGTGTGTGTGTGTGTGTACTCACCTAATTGTACTCACCTAATTGTGCTTGCGGGGGTTGAGCTCTGGCTCTTTGGTCCCGCCTCTCAACCGTCAATCAACTGGTGTACAGATTCCTGAGCCTATTGGGCTCTATCATATCTACATTTGAAACTGTGAATGGAGTCAGCCTCCACCACATCACTTCCTAATGCATTCCATTTGCTAACTACTCTGACACTGAAAAAGTTCTTTCTAACGTCTCTGTGGCTCATTTGGGTACTCAGCTTCCACCTGTGTCCCCTTGTTCGCGTCCCACCAGTGTTGAAAAGTTCGTCCTTGTTTACCCGGTCGATTCCCCTGAGGATTTTGTAGGTTGTGATCATGTCTCCCCTTACTCTTCTGTCTTCCAGTGTCGTAAGGTGCATTTCCCCCAGCCTTTCCTCGTAACTCATGCCTCTTAGTTCTGGGACTAGTCTAGTGTCTCGAGAGATACATAATAATTTACACGTGGAAAATAATTGAGAGGCTGGTCCCAAACCTGCACACAGAAATAACACCACATGAGACCAGAAGACATGGCAGGATGTGCAGAAT